AGACGATATGATTCGTTAATTTTAAACGCTTATAATTCAAAAGTTATTATAGCCTCAACATTTTGGTATTAGAATTTTCGTCTTAAAATTATCTCAAGAATCTCCCCTTAAAAGGAAATCGTCTTTTTACTAGACACCCTGTATATCGTGACTATTTTTTATTTCAACCCTACCTCTACCTTGCAAAGGAGTTCGCAACTACCATATCGTTTTATGTTGTAAAGTGTATGCGTGGATATAGTAGGTTCCGCCCCCCTCTGCGGGGCTCCCTTTAGGTTATTTAAAATAACCTAATACAACTCATTTGTTAATGTGAGATAGCAGTACAATCATGAAGTGTATTCGCATGGAAAATGAGATGCCTATACTGTTGCACGTGGATTTCGACTTTCTACGCGAAGCGAGAGCTACCTCACACCAATAAATGAGTTAGCTTAGGTTATTTTTAACAGTAACGACATTTAATTTTAAGACATAAAACGACATGGTAGGTGCGAACTCCTTCGCAGAGGAAAAGGTGGGGTGAGAGTTCTCTTGCTTCGCTTGGAAAATTGAAACCGTGTGGAAGTCGTACGCCTTCTTATAGGTGGAGGGAGGGGAGAGTAGACTCACTTTGCGTGGAAAGTTTAACGTTTCTAAACAGGGGGAGATACTAAAATAGTACTACAGATCCTCTTTCTCTCTCTCTTATTACTAATGTAATTTTTCTTACTTACGTACATTGATACAATTTTATAAGGTATTTTAATCTTATTTATTCAATTTTATTTTCTACTAAGTTCTCTTTATATCTTTATATCTTTTTACATTATATTCATTTTATTTATTGCATTATTAATTGACTCTTTTTTCAAATTACGTTGTGTTTTTGACAGAAACAATTACACGCTTTCACAAACTACATGTATAACTAGACGAATTACATTGTTCTTACTGGTTTGCCGAAATGAATATAACTTCAACTATACGAGTGAGAATGCACACCTACTTTTATATACATATGTATATATATATATATATATATACAGGGTGTCCGAGACCACCCGTCCATCCCTTTTATCTCGAAAGCAGAGCATTTTAGAAAGAAACGTTTCAGACAAAAGTTATGGGGTTCTAAATGATCTATTCAGTGATCAGATCAGTATGACCTTGGGTGGCGTCACCAAGGTCAGAGCAATGTCACTTTGAATTTTTTAAATGGAACCCCCTATTTTTTATCGCATATTCTTGTAGCACACCTCGAGTGCTTTCCAAAACACTATAATAAAATGTTTTTTCATAAAGTACTTTTCGAGTTATAAGGCTTGAAAGTTACAGTATTGACGGCATTAGCATTTCCCAAAAAGTACCAGGTGTAGAGGTTACTTAATCGGATTTAATCTCGTGTATACGTGAGTGCATACTTGCGTCAGAATTACATAGTATACAATGTTCTTATTTCTATTTGTTAACTGAACTGATTATGTTTGATGCTCAATCAGGTCCAGATAAACTGCATGCATTTTCCCGTGCTTAGCATTAACCAGGATGAACGACATGGACGTGACGAGAATTTCATCCCATTGGGGTGCTTGATTCGCGTGAGTCCCCTTGCCTCTCACGTTCGGGGTGCTTGATTCGCGTGAGTCCCCTTGCCTCTCACGTTCGGGGTGCTTGATTCGCGTGAGTCCCCTTGCCTCTCACGTTCGGGGTGCTTGATTCGCGTGAGTCCCCTTGCCTCTCACGTTCGGGGTGCTTGATTCGCGTGAGTCCCCTTGCCTCTCACGTTCGGGAATGAATGAGTGTGTATTTGGCTAAGCGATTAAATGTTCGAAGTGAGCACCATTCTCTGCAATGCAAACATGTACTCTATTTTGAAAGGAATGGATTGCTCGAAGAATTTCTTCAGCACTCAAGGATCGAATTGCTTCACTTATTCTACGAATCATATCGTTCCTCGTAGTCGGACGTTCATGATAGACCAAGTCTTTTATCCTTCCCCAAAAATAATAATCAAGAATGGTAAGGTCTGGTGATCGGGGTGGATAATTGATCGGACCGTATTTGCCTATCCACTTGTCGGGAAACATAACATTTAATGCTGCACGAGCAACTCTCGATGTATGCGACGGACATGCATCTTGTTGGAACCACATGTCCAGGCGCAATTGCAGAGGAAGATTTTCTAGTAAAACAGGAAGATCTGTCTCTATCAAGGCGGAATATCTCTCACCGTTTAGATTTTCGTCAAAGAAAACAGGACCTACGATTTCACTTCCAATAATACCGCACCAAACATTGACTTTCCAAAGGATTTGATGATCAATTTCTCTCAACCAGTGAGGATTATTTCGGGCCCAAAAACGGGAATTCCAAGTATTGACAGATCCATCACTTTTAAATGTGCATTCGTCAGAAAATAAAATTTTTAAGTGGAAATCACGTGGTTGCTGTCTTATCCAGTTGCAAAATGTAAGTCTCTGTTGAAAATCGTTGCAATTCAACGATTGATGAACAGACATTCTGTAAGCATGAAACTTGTTACTTCTTAAAATGTTCCAAATAGTGTCATGATTAACACCAGAATCTCGTTCTCGGCGTCTTAAGGAATCATGAGGGTTCAATTCTGTCGATGCAAGAATTTCCGCTGTTCTTTCGTCCCTAACTGGACGGCGGATCTGTTTATCTTTGTTATGATCAGGCTGAACGATACCTTTAGTTTTGATTCGTTTAGCCAAACGGTAAAAAACTTTCCGCGAGTGAGGAATCCGATTAGGATAACGTTCTCGCCACAATCTTTCAGCTGCAGCGAAAGTACCTCGACACTCACCTAAAATTAGCAGCATATCATATGCTTCTTCATTGGAATAGGACATGGCTAGATAAACCCAGACTAATAAAAAGTGTCGAATTTTTTTTTCGCTATTGATTGTTATTGAAGAACCAGTTGAGAAGCTTAAGGTCACTCGTCAAAAATAGGGAGTTCCATTAAAAAAATTCAAAGTGGCATTGGCGCGAATCCACTTGCCTCTCACATTCTTTTTTCACGATGTATGTATACAGTGCGATATTGAGAATGCCGAACGTTTTTGTTTTTGTATAATGAGATACACGGAGTCGTGTTGAGTCACAGCAGCGTCACTCATGTAAATTGCTCCGTGTATCTCATTATACAAAAACAAAAACGTTCGGCATTCTCAATATCGCACTGTATACATACATCGTGAAAAAAGAATGTGAGAGGCAAGTGGATTCGCGCCAATGCCACTTTGAATTTTTTTAATGGAACTCCCTATTTTTGACGAGTGACCTTAAGCTTCTCAACTGGTTCTTCAATAACAATCAATAGCGAAAAAAAAATTCGACACTTTTTATTAGTCTGGGTTTATCTAGCCATGTCCTATTCCAATGAAGAAGCATATGATATGCTGCTAATTTTAGGTGAGTGTCGAGGTACTTTCGCTGCAGCTGAAAGATTGTGGCGAGAACGTTATCCTAATCGGATTCCTCACTCGCGGAAAGTTTTTTACCGTTTGGCTAAACGAATCAAAACTAAAGGTATCGTTCAGCCTGATCATAACAAAGATAAACAGATCCGCCGTCCAGTTAGGGACGAAAGAACAGCGGAAATTCTTGCATCGACAGAATTGAACCCTCATGATTCCTTAAGACGCCGAGAACGAGATTCTGGTGTTAATCATGACACTATTTGGAACATTTTAAGAAGTAACAAGTTTCATGCTTACAGAATGTCTGTTCATCAATCGTTGAATTGCAACGATTTTCAACAGAGACTTACATTTTGCAACTGGATAAGACAGCAACCACGTGATTTCCACTTAAAAATTTTATTTTCTGACGAATGCACATTTAAAAGTGATGGATCTGTCAATACTTGGAATTCCCGTTTTTGGGCCCGAAATAATCCTCACTGGTTGAGAGAAATTGATCATCAAATCCTTTGGAAAGTCAATGTTTGGTGCGGTATTATTGGAAGTGAAATCGTAGGTCCTGTTTTCTTTGACGAAAATCTAAACGGTGAGAGATATTCCGCCTTGATAGAGACAGATCTTCCTGTTTTACTAGAAAATCTTCCTCTGCAATTGCGCCTGGACATGTGGTTCCAACAAGATGCATGTCCGTCGCATACATCGAGAGTTGCTCGTGCAGCATTAAATGTTATGTTTCCCGACAAGTGGATAGGCAAATACGGTCCGATCAATTATCCACCCCGATCACCAGACCTTACCATTCTTGATTATTATTTTTGGGGAAGGATAAAAGACTTGGTCTATCATGAACGTCCGACTACGAGGAACGATATGATTCGTAGAATAAGTGAAGCAATTCGATCCTTGAGTGCTGAAGAAATTCTTCGAGCAATCCATTCCTTTCAAAATAGAGTACATGTTTGCATTGCAGAGAATGGTGCTCACTTCGAACATTTAATCGCTTAGCCAAATACACACTCATTCATTCCCGAACGTGAGAGGCAAGGGGACTCACGCGAATCAAGCACCCCGAACGTGAGAGGCAAGGGGACTCACGCGAATCAAGCACCCCGAACGTGAGAGGCAAGGGGACTCACGCGAATCAAGCACCCCGAACGTGAGAGGCAAGGGGACTCACGCGAATCAAGCACCCCAATGGGATGAAATTCTCGTCACGTCCATGTCGTTCATCCTGGTTAATGCTAAGCACGGGAAAATGCATGCAGTTTATCTGGACCTGATTGAGCATCAAACATAATCAGTTCAGTTAACAAATAGAAATAAGAACATTGTATACTATGTAATTCTGACGCAAGTATGCACTCACGTATACACGAGATTAAATCCGATTAAGTAACCTCTACACCTGGTACTTTTTGGGAAATGCTAATGCCGTCAATACTGTAACTTTCAAGCCTTATAACTCGAAAAGTACTTTATGAAAAAACATTTTATTATAGTGTTTTGGAAAGCACTCGAGGTGTGCTACAAGAATATGCGATAAAAAATAGGGGGTTCCATTTAAAAAATTCAAAGTGACATTGCTCTGACCTTGGTGACGCCACCCAAGGTCATACTGATCTGATCACTGAATAGATCATTTAGAACCCCATAACTTTTGTCTGAAACGTTTCTTTCTAAAATGCTCTGCTTTCGAGATAAAAGGGATGGACGGGTGGTCTCGGACACCCTGTATATGTATATATATTTTTATATTTTTTATGTTTTTTGTAATTATATAATTCTATAATCTCGAACAGTTGTTAACAACTTGCGATCTTGTAACATTGATAATGATCTAATAGAGGTCGAAACGTTTGTTATTCTATTATAATTAAAGTACGTAATTTTAATCAAACGATATTTTTTATTTACAAACAATTGTATATTTTAACAAATTTTTTGGCTCGTAGCCTTTTTTCTTTTTCATTATTTTAAAATAGTACTTGTTGTTATACATATATGGCAGAAATGATACATTATTTTTAAAACCTTCTTTTGTTTATAACTTTTTAACGAAGGACGAGCGACGGCTAAAATCTGTTGGAAGTTACTCAGGGTCATGTCCTTGACAACATATGTCAAGGTCAGGGTCATTGGGAGGGTCCCCTAATTTAAAGATTTACCGCAAAATTATTTTAACAGAATTACAGTTGGTAAATATTCCCTTTAGGGGAGCCTCTTCCAGTGACCTTGACCTTAACATATGTTGTCAAGGTCATGACCCTGAGTAACCTTCAACAGGTTTTAGCCGTCACTCGTCTTTCGTTAAAAAGTTATTAACAATTAAAAATTTTTTTTAATTAATCTTATTTTTGCTACGTATACCATATTAAATGATACTGCGTAGGGCGAGTTTCACCCGCCCTGGCCGCGACTCTCCGTCGCCTGGCGCATAGCACTGAGCCGGAGCGACGAATAGCGATGTAGATAGCCGTGTATATAGCCGAGTGCCATTAGAAAGTAAGCCGTAGACGTAAGATCACATAGGATAGATCGAGTAAGTAGATTTTCATTAGTTTGTAGGGTATTGCGTAAGCCATACATCGGTAATTAAAGTCGTACAAAAACGCGAGAGTGAGAGCGCAGTGGACCAGGTCGAGCGTGGATCAGAGGGTGTAGACCGCGAGTATTTCGTGATTCCGAGTCGGGAACACGGGTGTTTCTTTCTTTCTGGAGTAAGTGGCGATGGACCGCAGGTGGATCGATTGATTACGCATGAAAGCAAGGCGCGAGATAGATAATGTCAGTAGCAAACACGGATGTAGAGTCAGACGACAGGGACAGAACGAGAGTCGGTGAAAGTGACTGAAGAGGCAATCGGATAACGCGCAACAGGTGTGAACGCGAGGGCGACTAAACGCGACGTGGCGAGGCTGGATCAACGGTGAATACTAATCGTAGGCAACGAGTTTACGTGTAAAGTATGAGTGAGATGCAACGGTTCAGTTCAGAGTTGACAGTTTGTTGACGAGGGATTTGGCTGATCGCAGAAAATTGATCGGTGCGATCGACACTAGTCGATGGGTTCCATTTGCATATCGAGTATTATCAATTTCTAACCGTGGGATTGTAAACAATTAATTTGTTATCCAACAAGAGTCGGTGATTACGGGAAACTGACCGGTGAAATTGGCGCCGGGTACCGAGACCTGTGTGCATACCAAGTTACACTGATTTCTAACCGCGCGATCATGAACAATTAAATTGTTAACTAATAGTAGTCGTTGGTTATGAACAACTGACTGGTGAAGTAGACAGCGGGTATCGAGGTCTACGTGTACACGCACCGGCAGAAATGCTCTCCCTCGGCGTTCGGCGCGCGGCGTTACACACTCGTACTGAGCGCACACGTACGTGTTACTGGGAGCGCGGAAGAGGCGTGAAGAGACCGAACGAAACGGTAGCGTGCGTGTCGATAGAGGGAAAGACCGATTCTTGGTAGTCGGAACGTTTCGCGTGACCGAGTCAACCGGTTGTGCGATGGGGTGACCGTCGGCGAGGAAGCGTGAGCGTTCAGATAGTCGCAGAGGAGACTCCGTCGAGGTAAGACGTAATCGAGTTAGAGGCAGAGGCGAGCGGGTTGAGTTTCGAGGCGTAACACGAGACGACGGCGTATCAGAGACAGACGCGAGAGGACGGCCATGTATCGCGAGGACCGCGACGTGGAGGATCACGCGCGAGGATTCTGAGAGAAGCGAGGGTGACACAGCCGTGAGAGCGCGAGGTTTCCGCCTGATCGGACGATTGCGAGACCGACGAGACCGCGAGGGCGCCGAACGGCGAACAGGTAAAGCCCAAGACACAATGCGAGGGAATAGTTCTCTAAATTTCTTGGAATGACATCTCACTCTTTTGGATCGAAAAGTCACTCCAAGTATTCATGAAAATACCGCCAATCGAAATGGAGTGAAATTTTGGTTTTCGAACGAGTGAAATTTCTCACTCTTCATTGAATTGATTCTTTAACTCTAAAAAGAGTGACACAGTTCTCTCCAAAGACATAGAGAATGTACTGCGTGATCCCGTATCTAAGTAGTATCAAAATGTGTCGACGAAAATGAAGAGAGGGTTCCGTGGAAGACGGCCATCTCTATCTTTTTCCATTCGATGGTGTAATGGAAGAGAGAATGAGAGGGAGATGGCCGTCTTCCACGGTCCCTTTCTCTCATCCCTGTCGATCATTTTGACACACGGATCGTGCAGTCCATTCTCTATGTCTTTGGTTCTCTCGAATGGAGTGAGGATTTTAATATTCTACTAGAGTGAGAATTCGATAGGTTATGAGACAGTGGTGGAACTTACTTGCAATTTTCGGCCGATATTCAGATTGATTCCCGCATTTTACTTCACAGTGTAAATGCCGAACGATATACAGACTATGCGCGCAGATTGGTGAGGAGGGGCGAAAACCGTATATCAAGATAAAAATTGATCGATAGTTAATGCAAGTAAATTTCAGTATATATAATGAAAGAGAATATTTCATTAAATAATTTGATGCTCTCGAGTTACTTCATATATATATATATATAATCTTTATTATAAAAATACATCTTTATTATAAAAATACTTCATATATACATATACATACATATATAGTCTTTATTATAAAAATACATTAGTCCATATAAGTGTTTGCAATAACATTAGTCCATAAGTGTTTGCAATGGCAATTTTTTGAAAAATTAGTTGTTGCAATTTCATTGTTCTTCGATTTCTTCAATGTCACTGGGAGACGGGGCGAAACACGTCCGACCCGCTCGAGTGTCCTCACAAGACTTCTCTCTCACACGTTCGTCGTTTGCTTCACACGTACGTCGCTACACTGATTAGACGCGAATTGACGCGATTTTTGCACTTCAAATTGGAGTGAAGTTTAGAGCGTTAACGATTTCACTTAAAAAATAAGAGTGAATCTTTTCATTTTTTGTTTTGGTGTGAATACATTCACTCCATTAAATTAATCTGGAGACACGGTAGTGTCTCGGCGCTAAGCCAAGCGCGCGACACTGCCGTGCCTCCTTTACGCGAAACTGAGAATTTTTCGGGGTCGAGATGATCAGATCTCAGTAACGGCTGAACCGATCAAGTTCTACATACGCTCTATCGATAGTAAATACTAAAATTGTATGATAAAATTGCTTTCATTTTTTTCTACGTGCCCTACGAGCGGAGATATCGCGACGCAAAGTTCGAATCTGTAATTTTTTATACACACTAAATACTTTAATTCTCGTGAAAATGTTTCTTATCTTTATTATTGTATTTTATTACATCGAGATCGACAACTAGCAGCGCGAAGTGTTTTTACATAAAAAATTTTTCTATTTAAATAAATTTTTTTCATTTTGTTTTTAAATTAATTATGATATAATTTTTTTAAAGAAGAATTAAATCACTTGGTTTCGAATTGGAAGATCTTTTAATAAGAATACAAAGGCATATACTTAGGTTTCATTGTATGCAGATAAAGATAGTACCACATGGGTTTTACTTTTTGATTTAGTAGAATTTAAGTAATAGTACTATATATGGGTTCTTAAAGATTAAAGGTACCACATGTGTTTTACTTTTTAATTTGGTAGAATTTAACTTGGCGCCGATTGTTGATATCAAATCTTGTATACAAATGATAAATGTCATTAGAATTAAGTAAATAAGGATAATATCACGTAGGTTTTTAAAGATGGTTCTACTAAACAGCAAATGTGATTGGTCAGTTTCACAGTCGATTAAGTAATTGACGTTGGTGAAACTGGCCCAAATGGTTTTTTGACCAGCAGCATTGATGAGTCTCCAGTGATCATGTCATCAACATAGAAGTCGCGACTGATAACCGCAGCGGCACGAGGATGACTTGCCTCATATTCGAAAGACAATTGTTGCAACGAACGTATAGCTGAGAAAGGTGCTGAAGCAGTTCCATAAGTAACCGTGTTTAGGCTAAACGTTGATACAGAATCTGCTGGATGTGCTCTCCATAATATGCATTGGTATCGTCGATGGTCTGGTTTAATCATAATTTGTCGATACATCTTAACGATGTCACCGATTAGAACGTAAGGATGTTGTCGAAACCGCAACAAAATTTCAAACAACTCCGGCTGAATGGTAGGTCCTACCATCAAACAATCGTTCAACGATTTTCCGGATGTAGTGGGACAGGAAGCGTCGAACACTACTCGAAGTTTCGTCGATACTGATTCCTTCTTGAGGACTGCATGGTGTGGAAGATAGTTTACTCCTGTGGTCTCTGTGTCCGGCACTGCTGACATGTGACCAAGCTTAATGTACTCGTCTATAAACTTGACGTATCTCTCCTGCAGTTGAGGATCTCTTTTAAATTTGCGTTCTAAATGATGCAGTCGCTTGAGTGCACTGGTTTTCGACTCTCCCAGGATGCGTGGATCTTCGCGAAACGGCAATGCTACCTCAAACCCACCGTCGGCAGTTCTTTTATGTTCGTTTTGGAAAAGTTCTTCACACTTAGCTTCTTCTTTGGAGAAAATCTTTGTTTCTGGCATGTCTTCTATGCGCCAGAATTTTTCCACTTGTGCGTTAAGTTCATCGTTTCGAACAAGTCCACAAATTACTAACCTGTTGTGAAATTGCGAAACGTTTGATGATCCGACTTGTCCACATAATATCCAGCCCAGCTTCGTTGACTGCAACATGGGTTGTTTAGCTCCCAACTGGATCCTTTCGGTTTCGAGAACGTCCCAGAAGATCGTTGCTCCCAATAATAAGTCAACAGTTTGTGGTTTATAAAACGTTGGATCTGCCAAATTTAGGCATTGAGGAAGACTCACGGATTTGATACTAATAGTTTTAGTAGGAATGGATCGTGTGATCTGATTGACGATGAGTAAGTTAACGTCTGTTTCGTATGTCGTCTTCGTAGATGCTATACTAGTCTGAGTCGTTTCAACAATTGATGTTTCAGACACATTAAGACATGATATCATATGTTTTATACTTTTATTAACATTAAGTTTCAATCGTTGACACAAAGCTTTAGTAATGAAAGATTGCGACCTGTTATCCAATAAAGCGCGTGCCTTGTGCCATCTACCTTCATCATCCCGAATGTACACCATCGCTGTCGACAAAAGAATTTCCGGGTTGACTTGATTAAGACAACTTGATTTCATAGTTACAGAAGTTGCAACCGATTTTTCGCATGCTTGCTTATTCGCGTTGCTTGATTTCTCGGACGAATCGCTTGACACAGTTGAGCCTTTGTTGGAGTTATTGACTCGTTCGTCCGCGTGAAGCAGTGTGTGATGTTTCTTTGAGCAGTGCCTGCACGTGCGAGAAGTGCAGTTTTGTACTGTGCGATTCGGTGCTAGGCAATTGTAACACAGATTTAATCTCCGCACTTCGTTACGCCGTGACTCTAATGACAATTCTTTAAAAATTTTACATGCAAATATTCGATGTGCCTGCTTACAGAGAGCACACTCGACTGCTTCACCTGCCACCACGTGCGCAAGACTTGTACCTTGATTCTTGTTTGCTTTGACCTGATTTGGCTTCTGCGTAGAAACCTTTCCGTGCGCCGGGTGAAGAAATTCAAGGAACTGACAGCGTGTGTCAAGAAATCCCATAAGTTGTTTAATAGTTGACAATTTTTCCTGAGCCACCTTCAGCTCCCATTCCTTCTTTGTCGTGGGATCCAATTTTCTCGTAACTAGATAAATTATGAGAGTATCCCATTTGTCGACAGGTTCTTTTAGTTGCTGCAACACTCGTAAATGTTTTTGAAAGTCATCTGATAATGCTCGTAACATCTCTGCCGACTCTTTTGGAATTGGAGGGATATCGAACAGTTCTTTAACGTGATAATGTATAGTTAACCGTAAATTTTGAAATCGCTTAGTTAATAATTCAAGTGCAATAGGATAGTTTTCGTTAGTTGTTTGCAATGAATGTATAACTTGAGCAGCCGAATCTGACAGTGCAGATTTCAGATAATGAAACTTTTGAATTGAATCTAATTGAACGTTGTTGTGTACTAGTGCTTGGAACGTATCATAGAATTGCTGCCACTGCTCATAATTTCTACTAAAGGTCGGCAAAGAAATCACGGGCAATCGCACTGGTGTTTGATTTACGTTCACGTTTTGTACAGCTACTTGGTTGTTTGTCGTGTTGTTAGTATTTTGCGCTAGCTTCGATCGAGCCGCAGCTTGCACTATGAAGAACAGCTCTTCGAACCTTTCCCGTTCCGCGTAGTTGGCTTCAGGAAGAAGTTCGTCGATTTTCGTTTGAATTGCGATCTTTTAATACTTACTCCACAGCTCATTGTATTTCTCAAGTTTCGCTTCTAACAGTAACCTATTCTCAAGACTGTGTGCATAATTGTCGACAAATGTCTTAAATCTAGTCGCGCGTGCTTTGAGCGTCGTTCGCTCACGTTTCAACGAATCTAAACTCGACATTGTATCGCGAAATTACCAACCTTGATATCGTACACAAAATTACCGACTGCAGCGATATGATGTGACGATAGCGTTTATGTAGTGTCGTGAGCCTGTTGATGATTCTCGGCCAAAGCGAACGATGGCAGTTCTCGTCGCAGAATAAAAAAAAAATGGCCGTTAGCGTCGCCTGACAATATGGCAGTCTTTGTTGCAAAAGAGAAAATGGCGATTCTCCTTACCGGAACCCAATCCTCGATCTCACCTGAGAGACGTCGACGGATGTGTATGGACAGTATGCCGTCTCAAGCTTTCTCGACTTTTACTTGAGATCGTTAGTGGTTATCGATGCTCAAGAATTCCCAATATCGCGATGAAGAAGTAGTGTGATGTGCTTCCACAATCCTCGATGCTTACCCTCTTGAACGTTGTCTAATTGAATGCGACGACAGTTAGCTCGTGCGGCCAACAAGTGTATATCCGGCTCGAAGGACCAATTTACCGTGAATCCCGTGTTGATGTACGGAAAAAAGTCACGTTGTGTGCTTTTGAAAATCTCTTTATTCGTGTGAAAGATTGCAACGATCCGTTGTTGCCGGTTGCTTACACATTACTCTACTACTCTCCCTACTCTCTTCGTTACAGTACGCCAGCGCCACGCATGAACTATACGAATGCGATCGAGTCTGATCGGTAACATTTAGCGCGAGATTCATACAGACATGTATCATTTGTATAAAAGATTTGATATCAATAGTCGGCGCTAAGTTATTCTACCTTATTACTTACTGAATTTTAATGACATTTATCATTTGTATAAAAGATTTGATATCAACAGTCGGCGCCAAGTTAAATTCTACCAAATTAAAAAGTAAAACACAATTTAAATAATTAAATTTAAATAATAATATTATAGCTTTTATAGATAGTTTTCATTGTTTTTCTTATTCCCTCTAGTAGCGCAAAGTGTTTTTACATAAAAATTCTTCTATTTGAATAAATTTTTTTTATTTTGTTTTTAAATTAATTGTGATATAATTTTTTTAAAGAAGAATTAAATCACTTGGTTTCGAATAGGAAGATCTTTTAATAAGAATACAAAGGCATATACTTAGGTTTCATTGTATGAAGATAAAGATAGTACCACATGGGTTTTACTTTTTAATTTAGTAGAATTTAAGTAATAGTACTATATGGGTTCTTAAAGATTCAAGGTACCACTTGTGTTTTATTTTTTAATTTGGTAGAATTAAACTTGGCGCCGACTATTGATATCAAATCTTGTATACAAATGATGAATGTCATTAAAATTAAGTAAGTAATAAGGTAGAATAACTTGGCGCCGACTATTGATATCAAATCTTTTATATAAATGATAAATGTCATTAAAATTAAGTAAGTAATAAGGTAGAATAACTTGGCGCCGACTATTGATATCAAATCTTTTATACAAATGATATATGTCATTAGAATTAAGTAAATAAGGATAATATTATGTAGGTTTTTAAAGATGGTTCTATTAAACAGCAAATGTGATTGGTCAATTTCACATTCGATTAAGTAATTGACGTTGGTGAAACTGGCCCAAATGGTTTTTTGACCAGCAGCACCCACTCTTATAGATATATACAGGGTGTCCCAGTAACTCTGTTACAAGGTAATGTCTCTGTTACCGTTAATGATACGCGAAAATGTCTAAGGAAGAAATTGTTTGGTTCGGAGGGGAACATGTATTGGTCACCTTGTTTTGGGGGTATGACGTCACGGGGAGGGGATGACGTCACAAGGCGAGAGGGGTATGACATCACGGGAGGGGAGGGGAATGACGTCACAGGGCGAGGGGTATGACGTTGATGGGTATGACATCACGGGAGGGGAGGGGCATGACGTCACGGGAGGGGAGGGGGTGTCGAGGGGTATGACGTCACGGAAGGGGAAGGTGACGTCGCAGAGGGATGACGGGGAGGAAAATAACGTCACAGGTGCTGACGTAGTGGGAAATTTGCGCGGAAAGAATTGCGGGGTCCGCCGCGGGGTCAATAGCCGCCAGGCGCGGGGATCTCCGAACGCGGTAAGCTAACGCGCGCGGTCCTCCCTCGTCGCGAGGTCTGTCGGGCGCGATCCCTCCGCCCTCCGGGCGCGGTCCGGCCCCCACTGGGGTGCGTTCAGAATAAACGCCCGGACGACAACTTTTTACCTAAAAGCGTTCGATTTGACCGGATGTTTCGTCCAGACGTTTCACCCAGATCGCGCGCGCGCGTTCAGAATAGGTTTAGAAAAACACCCAGACTACAACTTTTTGCCGCACTCGAGACTGCGGTCAATTTCGTCCGACATGCGCAGAGAAGCCTATTTATGCCTACGCAACCTATAAGAACCATATGATGATATGATTTGAGGTTATTATTATGTCTCACGCCATTTTAGCACTTCCGTATTTAACTGTGATAAATAGAATAATATAAATTATAAAGAATAGTTTGAACTTTAATACATATAAAGATAATAATATGAAGAATAGTTTAATAGATAATAATATAAATATTTGATAGATAATAATATATTTTATAGATGATATAAAAGAATAGTTTGAACTTGGTAAGTGATTATATACATTTTTTTATTTACATTACTGATTCTATATAACAATATATTAATGTAAAAAAGCAAGTAATAAATACATGCATAAATTTTATTAAGAGAGAATTATTCAAAATAAAAGCAACATAATTCTATTAATTTATTTAATATTATTAATTTTTAGTTAAAAAGTACAATGGAAAATTGTACAATAGGTGCTATTACATTATATAAAACGTTCTTCTTGAGTGCTATCGAGTCTGATGACGATTCCGAAGAAGAGGAGCTAATAGAATTATATGCTGAAAAATTGTCAAATTCCCCAAAAAAAAATTCCATCTCGAATAAAATATTTAATTGAGCATATCGTATTAAACAGTAAAGGAATTTCAATAACATTTCAGAATAACAATTTCAGTCCTTTTCCTTTTTAGAGATTTCTACGATTTAGATAGATTATCTTTTACATTTGAGTTACAAATATCTGTTGAATTAGACTCTTTATTTGATTCGATAATTTCTTCAATCGTCTCAAATGTAAATGTCTACCCAATGCGTACCGGGTCCCTCAGCGTTGTCTAGATTGACGATACCGCTCTCGTTTCGACGTACTCCTTCCACCGGTAATGTCGTACGCATAAAGATATCTCTGAAATACGAAATGCGCATACGTTTTGCAAGTTGTAGCAGTTGCATGTTGGTAGTTACACCCGTTGGTATTTTTAACGTCTCATCGTTTTTTTTCTTTTTACTACTCCTCGTCCACGCTTGTAGGGAGCGAGATAAACACCGTGACCTTCCATGACGCGATTATGACGTTGCATTTTTTCCAGCTGACGCTTCGCTGCTCTGCTATCATTTACAGCCTTGGCGACTCCCGCCGCTCCACCAACCAACGACCCGAGGACGCCCAGCAGCGGAAGAACAGGCAGGATACCACCGCGTTTCGCTATCAGAAGTATCCTCTTTCTCTTCCTAGGCCTTTTCAAGCCCATACCCATCTTTGTTTTAGCCTTCATAGTCGCCCAAACAGCTGTGGCGGCGGCTCTTTCTTTGAGAGACGAATCTCTCGCGGTAATGCGTTTCTGCGCCTTTTCAGCAAGTATATTATCAGCCGCGGCCGTTCAGTGAGATTGTTGCTGTGCGAACACGCTATATCGTGTTCGCGACACGCCGTGTCCAATAGATTAATACCTAGGTCGCCTCTAGCTAATCGTTTCTCCGAACGCGTCCCCGGTCCACAAAACTGTTAACCGGGAATGTGCAGTTCGAAAGGAAGCGCGTTTATCGCTTTATTTAACAAACCTCTGCCTCTCGACGGCATTCGCTACAATTCTTTATCAACGGCACTGGATCGTCGATATGCGTTTGCTGACTCGGCAAATTGTAATACTTCAGACACCGACGGTGTTGTTGTACCTCCGAATCGACTCGTATATGCTCAGGTAGTCTATCCCATAGCAGATCTATACAATTCTCAAACTCTCGCATTAGAACAATTTTCGATATATATTCCAATTCTTTAGAGGTTAAATCATTCGACACGATGAGAAACATTTTGATTACTGAGCAATTACGCTCTACGTGACTCTATAAATAGACCCACTCGCGACATTGTTTCCAGTTTCCTGAGGAACGAGAAAATATGCGGTTTGTGCGCCAGTCGCAAACTATCAAGGTAACGAATCTTGACGGTAAAGTGCAAACCAATAAGAGATGCGCAAGCATGGCAACATGCTACCGAGTTCTATTCTCGCAATCATTTGCGGCCCGTCGAATTGCGGCAAGACGAATGTACTGATAAGTTTGTTGGAGAACCCGAACGGCGTACGCTTCGAAAACGTATACGTTTATTCAAAATCTCTGCAACAACTAAAGTATCGATATCTTGAAAATTTATTAGCACCGATCGAAGAAATAAACTATTTTACATTCTCCTATACACATTTTACATTCTCCTTATAGACCTTCTGTTTATAATTATGGTATTGTGTCACAAAACATTATGTAGTATTTCTTTTTGATTTTACTTTATTATTTTCCATTATAGCACGTATAAAGGTACATTTTCACGTGCTGCTAAAATAAACAATTGAAGCGACAGACCTGTCGTGATCTGTCGCTCTTATTTTAGCGGTTGAAATTTTGTAGTTTAAACAGTTTCAACTACAAGCGTCAAACGTTCAAACGCTATGTGACGCTATTTGATAGTGCTGCCGCGTTGTGTGGACTCACTTTGAAAAATATACAAAAATGAGCACTCGGTGACTCGATCCAAAACGCGTCCGTTACGATCGAGTGGTTCTTCAGAACTCATAGTGGATGACACTTTCGTGAAAAACATTCACGAAATCAGTCACTCAATTTTTAATTTTAATCCTTCTACCCCTATTTCATGTAAAAAGTTGTCACTGTAACAATTCTGCGACAATAGTTTTCACATGACCTTTTTTGTCGCTGGAATGGCCAGTTTCAGCAGCTCGTGAAAAGGCACCTTAAGGTGTCTGACTAGCGAAGCTTCTACCGGCCGCTACTAGGAGCGCGTAGAGAGATCTTTGCATCTCCAATACGCGCTTCAACATAGGTTATCACTACATTCTCACTGTCATCGACGTGCTGAGTAAGCATGCATGGGCCATGCCGCTCAAAGTCAAGAACGACGCGACGCGGGTAATTGCAAAGATAATTCGAGATGACCAAAGATGTCCGAAAAATTTGCAGACTGACAAAGGAAAGGAATTTTACAACTCGGATGTGCAGAAACTCTTGAAGAAGCATAACATCAATCATTATTCTACGTATTCCGTAATGAAGGCATCGGTCGTCGAACGATTCAATCGTACATTGAAGAATGACATGTGGAAACAGTTTACATACACGGAAACTGAATAAATGGATCGAAATGCTGCTGCGTCTCGTGTCGGATTACAATGCGCGTAAGCATCGCACTATCGGCATGCGACCCGCTGACGTAACTCCCGCGATCGCCAAAAGACACCTGGGCACGGTGTATAGTGCGACAAAGATAGCGGGTCCCGCAAAATTCAAAGTGGGCGATGCGGTACGCATAACAAATTCAAGACAATATTTGAAAAAGGTTTTACACCGAATTGGACCACGGAGGTCTTTAAAATTATTGAATTGCAGCAAACTAATCCAGTGACGTACCTACTGGAGGATTTCCGCGGTGAGCTCATAGCTGGAGGTTTCTATGAATACGAACGCGTCGCTAATCCCGATGTGTATCTCGTTGAAAAAGTGAAGCGCAAAAGGGGAAACGAGGTTTATGTGAAATGGTTGGGACTTGACAAATCACACAATTCGTGGATTCATAAAGATAATGTATTATAAAATTATAAATTATACATTATAAAAATTATACATTATATAAATTATATATTATATATTAAAATATATTAAATATCCTTTACAAATATATTTACATATTATATATTACATATGATATATTACATATATTATACATTTTATACATGTTATACATATTCAATATTATTATTATTCATACAAGATACGTTTTATTTACACCGGTAATGTCCCCATGGCAGCGTGTCGGTAGAACCTGATACGATATACCGCTTATCATCATGCGGACTTAGAGCGATTTTTGTTTCCGATATCGTATATACCTCGTGCAATTTCGATCTGATGCACGATTGTCTGCGCGTCATTTCAATAGCGTCGTTTAAGCATCGCGTGTAATCATCAAACATTATGGATCTTGCCACAACGTTACTTTTGACACCCTCTGCCTTTTTCGTATCCTTCTTTCCGTGCACACGTAAAGCGTACATTTTCGCTCTAAGCCCGACGAATTCAGTCATGATGGCACCGCTGTTCTCGTCTTTCATAAAACCTGGAACTTTTTTATTTGCGAGTGGAATACGATATGGATTGTCGACAGAGTAATCGCTCGTACCAAATCTATCGATATCGCGTTTTATAATTTTATATACGTCGTCACACTTTACATGATATATGAGGCTATCAGTATCGGTATACATAATTTTGCATTTATCGCGAAACAGCGGTGCCATATATTCGTGGTGAAATTCATACAAACACGTTTTAGATATATCGAAGATGCACATACCCACGTATATCGGTTTGTCGAACTTCACTTCGAGCTTACGCAGTTCTATCGCGACCAGATTCTCCGAGAAAACGCTACGACTGTGAAAGTTGGGTTTCGCGATCATTGCTTCAGCACCGTATCTGCCTTTCCATTTTGTCAACAGTTTTACATCAACGCGATCGCGCACATTCTCCATGGTTTTGCCAAATACTGCGTTATTCATAAGTTTATATAAATTTTTCTCAAAATCGTTTTTTGCCAATGTTCTAAATTTTGTGTTTAATTCGATGTAATCACGATGCCATGGAGATTGTGTGAATTGCAAAATACAGTGAACCTTTCCGATATGGAGGCCGTGACGAGTACACTGCTGCAGGTTGCGATAATGAATCACGTAGCGCTGCTTATCCCATAACGTCACGAGAAGCTTCTCATCGCGCTTGCCGGGCGGTTTCTCTCGCGTTGGACAGAACGGTAGGTCAGTGTGCGACGTCGTGGAGATGTTGCGAATATTCCAAGTCTACCTCGAGAATATAGCCCGTAGGTGAATCTAGCGCGATGGTCGAAAAGTCGAAATTTTGCACGTCGTCGATCGATCGAAAGTCGGCATATGGCAATGGTTGACACATTGCCCAGCCATAGAGGTTGTTGACATTGTAATACATTAAATATGATAACTGTTTCGATGGGTCGTACGATGGCATGTATTTGTTGTTGGCTCGCGCGTACCTGTTTGAGCACTGGCTCAGACCACCGCGTATACCGCGCTCGACAAACATGACCATGTCAATGTCTGTAAGCAATTCAAATTTTACACCTGTATGCTTCAAAATCCCATCTAAAGTCAGGCAAGGTGTAATAGTATGCGGGGTCGAGCCCGTAACTCGCGACGCAACTGCCGCGGAAATTTTCAAAGACGTCGGCCAACAACAATACATCTGTTTTTAGATACAGGTCGCTATATTCACCGAGCGTTTGGATGGAGAACCGCTGCCACACGTTGACTGCGTGCGCGTAATCGCTCTCGGATACCGTGGCGTCAATGAACTATAAAATGACTCGCAAGGCGGCAAGCACGATTCATTCAATTTTTCACTGCAATCAATATACTCGTACGGTGTTGAATAAACGGTGAATGAGACGCCACGAACATATGTCTGTCACACGTGCCACCGGGTAATCCGTCAGTAGCGATGTGGTCGAGGAAAGTAATTGACTTCCTCTTATTTCACATTAAATTTATTGCCGTTCACTGGGATACAAAATTGTGTTGGAGCGAAGGAAATCACACGTCGAATGCTCTCGAAAAACTTCGTTGTTGTCGTAACGGAAAACGGACTTGTACTCCCTCTGTACGTACACGAGAGCTCTGTACGCCCTCTCTAGTAATGCGTGTCGCGCCGAAAGCAACTAGACATGCGATCATGACGCGAGACCGTGCATGCCGTGAATACAATCCTCGCGGACGGTGAATAATACGTAGCTTATGCCTTAAACTATGAGAACGTGAAGTGAATAATGAAAGTTTGACTAATTATTATACATACGGAAAGATACCTTTTCGAGTTAAAAGATTAAAATTTTCTTCCGATAAATGGGAAAATTCGCGTCGCAGTACTCGCTGTTTATCTTTATTGAGAAAAGATCCTAATTTGTCTAAATTAGAAGCGAGAAATCTGTATGAATCTATGAAACGTAATTGTATACAATTTTTTTATCATCTATAGTATCATCAACGTGTTTAGTGAATGAAATATATTTTTCTTTAGTTATTGGTAATAAATCTACGCGTCCTTTGTACGCGGTTGCAATTTCCTTGATAATGAAATGAGCGTCGTAACCGGTTAAATTGTGAAAGACTACGGGTATGCAACGCGAATCCTTATAATTTAAATTACAATTTGTGTGCCCTGGACCTCTATATCGCCCGGTGAGATGGCAGTGATCGCGTGCCCGCTTATCATCTTTCGCGAACGGTTTCTCGCATACATGACAGTGCGTGGCGCTATTGAATTTTCGCCAGTCATCTTGCGTGAAATTCATGGGAACATTGGTCGAAATTACAGATGGCACACTATGTGCTAAATTTTTTAATTTGTCCGCGAGCCATGATATACAATTATTATCGCGGTGAAATCGATAGCCTGACAGTGAGCTATCATAGGAACAATAAACGTAATACCAGATACTGAAGACGTGATGTTGGTACGTGTACGTGGATGATGTAGGCTCCTTATCCGTTTTCTCCAATGCGCACTCCAAATCGGCATAGACCACAAATGGGACGCGCTCCTTCCTGCAATGGTTCTTGAACTTGAGCCACTTGTCGTCCTCGCTCGGTAGCCTTATCGCACAATCGTTTAATTTTCCACAGTCGACGCTGTGTAAAAAAAAAAAAAAAAAATATTACTATTATTATTTACTATTGTTACTGTTATTATTATTATTATTATTAATATTTTATATATATATATTATTATTATTATTATTAATTATACCATACCTATCGCAGAAGTATTTCCTGTTCTTCTTTTTGCTAATTTGTGATCTCACAAGGCGTGATAAGTTATTGATCAGTGTGAAATGTCCCTCGATGTCATCCTCCACGTACAAGAGGTTCACGTGCTTGTTTCTCTTTCGGTCGACGAGTCGTATCGGTACGATCCCATCTTCGATGGCGTAGACGTTGACGTAAATGATCGTTTAGATTTTCAAATGTTTTAATTTGATTCAACGTCATCGGAAACTCAATACCCGTAAGATTTAGTACCGATGAGTAGTGCGGATATGAAGATTCTCTGTGACCATTTTCTTGGGCTGGATGCAGAGCGGCAACTACTGACCATGCAAAACAAGCATTGTCTTTGGACTGCACGTTGATCACCGCTCTCTTCAGCATAATTTCCTCCGGGAGTTTGATGTGACATCCCGCGCGCAGAGGATTTAGTTTATTCGCGTTAACAGTCAAGTTCAATATACGCGACAGTGCTATCGCGTTCTTGAAACTCTTCGAGCGATGCCAGGATTGGCTCGACGACGCGTGACACGTACCATTCGCGCTGATCGGTGCATCGATATATTTCATAGTTCCTAGTTGCGATGCTCTTGTTCGCGCGTTTATCCCCCGCTACGAATTCACCATTAAATACTGTATTTATCTTTATAGAGTCATATCTCCGCATAATACACTGCACACGCTCGAGCACAATTTCACTCGCGTCTTCGAGGAATCGGCGGGGCTCGATGTGATTAGAGTTTATCACCGCTGTCGTCAAAATACGGCTTTCGAACGCCGTTTCTATCTCGCGCCATCGGAGTCCATAACCGGCGCCCACATACACGAATCGTCCGCGCACTGAATCTTTCAAACTCTCGAGCCGCGCGATACAGGCGATCACTGATTGTCTACTACCGATCGATAATCGCGGGCGTTTGATCCGACTCTGTTCTTCCAGAGATTCTATGAATTTGTCGCACCGCTGTTCCCACGCGATGTACTTTTCTCTGGTATCAAGCAGGGTAGCTTGCTCTATTAAATCTCGCTCCATGTCGCTTGATTGACTAATGACGCCATGCGTCTAAATCTTTGCGTTTTATATTAATCTATTCGGCAACGTCGCATCTCGCAACTGTTAAATGTGCAATATGGCAACGTCGCATTTGTATCAAATTACATTACTGCTCTCATCACCGGACGTGTCTTTTGCATAAAATCTTAAACAGAAATTGCGAACGTTGCATTTTAAAATATCGAGTTACACTGATTATTTCATCACCGTACGTGTCTAAAAATCTGTATTGTGCAAAATTCTTTCTTAGCAGCTGTATATTTGCAAACGCTGCATTTTAAAATATTGAATTACACTAATGATTTCATCACCGTACGTGTCTTTTGCAAAATTTTGCAGCTGCATATCAGCAAACGCTGCATTTTAAAAATATTAAATTACACTAATGATTTCATCACTGGACATGTCTTTTGCAAAAATGCTGCAGCTGCATATTTGCAAACGCTGCATTTTAAAAAACGTTGGAGGGGGTACAGTTTAAAAGCGGTTCGTGCAACGTTATTGCATCAGTTACTCAAACGATTTCAATCAGCATAGATTCTCACGTTCAGCATGAACTGTACCTAAGTATTTTTCACATACGAGGTGCGTTAAAAAAAAGGGTGTCTTTTCAAATTTCGGGGGCTACGTACATTCGATTTTTGAATTTTTTTTTGTTATGTTGATACACATGTCTCCAACATATGTTG